TCCTTCGAAGAGCAAACAAGTTAGCTGAATAGCTCAACAAGAGTGTCATTCTCCATCTAGATAACTTTAGTATCCTGGACCTAATCCAAGTGGACATTGTTCTAGGAAATGAAACAGACTGCACTGGTGGCACTGATGGATGGTCATCTCCAGTCCCTAGACAGGAACTGTATATCCAGGCTCATGTTGCTGGGCACCTCAGCAACACTAATACAGTTAAACTTGGGATGTTGCTAGACCCCATCAGAGCTGTGATAGGAGTTAGGGGCACTACTCTTTATTAATGACTTTATTAATTCCTTTCAAACTGCACTGAAGAATCATGATGAGCATTTGCTCCAGCACCTCATTTGTAGAATTTTAGAAGGATTGTTCAGCAATACATAGGGAATATTCATCATCATCTTGTTAGAAGAAAACAGTGACAACTTGTCCAAGGGGCTGAGCAAGATCAGGAGCTATATGAAAACCATCCAACTGAAATCAGGTCCAGGAAGTAGTGAAGTGATTTTGTTGAAGAGAGATATTCTACAAAAAGCTCCCTGTCTATATAACTTTTCCCTCAGTTATCCATGTTTTGAAAAGGTCTGGGAACCTGGACAGGTAGGAGTGAAAGAAAATGTTACATGCAATTAGAAAAACACTACCATCTGATAATATGTGGATTGGAAGACTTTAATTTATCAGAAATAGATTGCAAAACAAATATGACAATGAGCCTGTGACAGCATCTGATAAAGAGACGCTGTATGCCTGTTGTGGAGGTTTTCAGGGGAAATGGCCAGCAAAATAGAAAGGAGTAGCCAAAAGGAAAATAAAATACAAGTTCTTACGTTGTGTGGCACATTGGGTGTCTATACAAGTGCTCTGATGTGTTCTAATAAGAACACATTGGAGCAGACTTGATTAAGGCAGTGTCTCATGTATTAATGCTTTAGTGTCTCATGTATTCAGTGTCCCACATTACAAAATGGTGGCAGGGACACTTTAAAGCTTATCAAACCAGCTTTAGTTAAACCGCTCCCACTGACACTTTGAAAAACAGGATGCTGAATACATGAGATGCTGTAGGTGTTTTAATTAGAGCAGTTCCCAAAATCCACTCTAATTAAAATACCCCCCTTTCCCCCCCACCTACTGTGTGCAAATAATTAACTGGTTGGTTATATCTCAAAGCTGTTCACTGCTTATGGTGACACAAAGCCAACTAGGAAAAAACAATAAGATATCTGTTGTTTGGATATGTAATTGTAATAGGGGCATATTATTTCTGGGACCCACTGAGATTTTTTGTAAGAAACTGGGAGGAGGTTAATTATAAAACCCTAGTTCACATTTAGATACGTGCAAATAACAAGTTTGGGAGAGCTTTGCAGCACTACTGGTATTACTTATCATTTTTAACATTCAGACAATATTTTTCATTCTCAGTCTCCTTTACAAACATGCCTAATGTATGCTCACAGTGCTCATGTAATGCACGTGAGAATTTCATTCACAGTTTAACAGGTTGGGAAACCAAAGTTTAAAAGTTAAGTGACTTTCTCAAGGTGCAGAGACAGTAATTATGGATCTGATCAAAATCCCATTAGGAGTCCTTCCATTAACTTCAGCGGGTTTTGGATCACGTCTGTGGGAAAGTGAGTTATTGTTTAGGAATTCTTGACCGAGTCCTGTATCAGATGGTCTGATTATGCTCCTCTCTCTATAACACATGTGAAAGGACATCACAAAAATGTTGACCCAATGCATTCTTCAGAAAGCTTTCTTGTGAACTGTTTATCTTGTTTTGACCAGAGCAGTTGGCCACATCTGAGTGTTATGGGTTGAGGAGAAAGAGAAATTGCTGACAGAGTCAAGTGTTTCTTTGATGCAGTCCTACATTTTACAAAGAATGTGCAAAGTCTTATTTTCTGAACTCAGCAGAGGATAGTTTCTTTGCTCCCAGCTTCAAGATCCTTGCAGCCAGCACTAAGTCTCAAAAAAGCTCTTGCTGTTAATGATTTTTTTTGTTTTGTTTTTTTTCCTAAGGGCCACATCACCAGGTTTTCTGTACTGTGTCTTCTTGCATTCGCTCTGTTTCTTGGGTCTTTCCAATTCTCTGTCACAGACATGCACATATTAATAAAGCCATAGCCAGTGAAACTCTTCTGCCTGTTTTTGCCTTGAATGTTCCTTTGTTTTGGGTGGTGATGTGTGCCTGTGTTTTGAGATGAAGCTGTTACTGTTTCAGCAGTCTGATTCCATAAACAAGGTTAACTCTTCCTTGCAACTACATTAAAAGAGACAGGAGTTGCACACAAAATATAACAGTAATGGCAATGCTTTCCTTTGGGTTCCATATAGCCCTGAGAGGTGACTAAGAGATGGGAAGACGTCTGCCTTATTCCCGCTTTATTGTACACTTCTATCTGCCCCTCCCCTGTTTCAGAATGTGTTGAATCTGCTGTGGACACTGTAGAATTACATGTCTGGGTATGATGTGATCTGACATATCACATTCAATACTGTGTGCCATTAATTTTTGTTTAAAATGGAACTATTCAAGCTGTCTGGCAGCGAGTTTTAATGATGGGCTTCCATCCACAGCAGGCTAGCTGTGGGAAATTATGGGCCTACTGTGACTGTCAGAAGTCTGACTTCTAAAAATAAGAGTAAGCAAATTAGCATAACCTAAGGACTTCTATGAATTGCATCCTGCCCTTTCACCTCTGACTTTCTCTCTTAGCATTTACTAAACATGAATTTTTAATACAGCAACTACCACATCTCATGAAGCAAATGACAGACTGAATTTCAAAGGATAATCTAAAAAGCAATGCACATACATCGGAAGAAAAGGAAAATCCTTTCTTCATAAACCCACTTATTAAAAAAGTAATGTAGTATCATGAGTTTTCATTAATACCAGTCTTCAGTAAGCCTAGAGCGAATCTTTGCTTGCCATGTGCTTGCTATGATACAGAACTGCCTGGGAGCGATGAAGCAATATAGTATAAGGAGAATGGAGAGCATGAGGCAGAGCTAGAGAAAATGTCAGCTCTCTGCCACAGAAAATGTCAGTTCTCTGCCACAGCACATTTTCTTTATGTGATTTTTGTGGAAGAGAATTATTCATATTTCAGTGAATATTAATACAGTGATAGTATTTCCCACTAGCAATGTGCTCTAGACCCTCAACATGCCAAGTCATTATGTGCTTATATTCAAAGGTAAGTGTAATATCCTTCTTGTTTTACAAATGCAAATGCTGAGATGCAGAGAAGTCACTGCTGGTGTACAAGTACCATTCATATGCCAAGTCCACTTGGTGAAAACATGTGGAAGGAAGTCCTCCACAGTTCCTACTCCATGCTGGTACTCCTTTCTTCTTGAGGCTCACCAGACCCAAGCCTAGACATATTACAGAGTGCTGCAAGACCTTCCTATTTGTGCAGTAATGTACCCAACAAAACTAGGATGAAGTGTTGTTTGGGAGAGTCTCTGTTTTATCTTGATATTCTAGTTCCCTTTTAAGTTTGTTTTTGTCCTCTTGTCATTCTCCTGTTTTTAAGTTAGTCTATTTTCGTATTGTAATCTACCCTGAGCCTTTGTTGGGAAGGGCTGCATATAAATCCAATAAATAAATAAATTACATTGACACTGCAGTGGTCAGGGCATCAGCAGTACCCTTGCCTCTCCTCCTCTTTACCCTTTGTATTGTCAGGTTTTTTTTGGAGGGTGCTTTGTATCTGTAGTGTGCAAGAGGGACCAGAGTGAATATTCTCTTTGGCCTTTTGGATAAAAAATGGTCCAAACACAGGGGTTGGACTTAATGGCCCAGTGGGCCCCTTCCTGTTCAAAGTTCCTCTGTTCCCATGGATTTACCCATTAGTAGCAATTTTAAGACTTAAGGTATTTCCAACTCTGGGGTCTATTTGCTGCCTCATAGAAATATGTAGTTCAAATTTCCTAATCTCTTTACTCAAAGGCTGTTTTCTCTGTTTTTGCAAAACAAACTCCCAAGCTGCTAACTCCTGACTTTACATGTATCATTAAATACTTCTCAGTTGCTATCCAGAAAGCTCTGCAGAAAACCTGTGGAACATTGTCTTTAAATAATTGATTAAATCAAATAGCAGCAGTGTTGTGCCAACAAATAGATCACTCTTTCAAATATTTTATTTATCGTGCCCCAGGAAACCCCAAACCATGTTTAAAAAAAGAAAAGAGAGAATGCAAAAAGTTGGCTTCATATTTGTCTAAAACATCTGCATATTATAATTCATGATGGTGTCACTCTGGTGCTATACAACACAAATCAGTGTTAATATGTATGTAAGATTTGGCAAAGAAATCAGAGAGGCAAAAATCCCAAACACAATTTGCCAAGTATGCATTTTATTTGGAATTTCTTTATGGGGCTATAAATGTGCACTTAATAATTACTTTGTTTAAGAGAAATGACTCAGCCACCTAAGTACCACCTTCAGAATGAATACATTTTCAGCTTCAAAGACCGTATTAGGTATACCAGGAACTTTATTTTCCAAGAAGAAACGCTTGGAATTCTGATGCTAGTTTTATATAAACTACATTTAGAAGTGGAGCTTTTTCTGTGGTGTTCATAAATCAAGGTCACTTATGTGAGAAGGCTATGTTTTGATAAAACTGTCTGACAATTAAATGTAGAGGGCAAATCAGTGTTAAGTGATATTCTCCGCAAATTCGGGGTCAGAAGGCAGTGTAAACAACACAGTGGCATTATGAAACAGAAAATTACATTCCAAATAATAACACATCTTCATGGTGCATGGTTTTTTATTTTAATGTGCATTATTCTACTCAATCATATTAATATTTTAAAGTACATAACATTTATGCATAGTTTTTTTTAACAAAATGCAACCTTATTTAACAGTGATGCCTGAAAAAGCGTAAAGCAAAGCAATTTGTGCAACAGAATGGTAACAAGTAGTTTCAAGATTTATAAACTGAGATTTTATGTTGCATATTTACAGATTCAATCTGCGTATCAGGCTTTGATCCAAGCCTTAGCATGATGACTGGAATAACTCCAATTAACCCAATGATACCAGGCATGGGGTTAGTACCGCCGCCACCACCAACCGATGTGCCTGTAGTCAAAGAAATAATTCACTGCAAAAGCTGTACACTGTTCCCTCCAAACCCAAGTAAGTGGCTCTGAGAAAAGTAGGCTTGGTAATCTTATTTTCTTAATTTTTTTTGCATGAAATGGGCCTAGGTGCAGAACCTTATTTGAGTTCAGTCCTCTTATAAATGCAGAAAGAACCACAGTGGTATACACACAAGACAGAGAATTGATTTAATAAAGGTAATCATTTTTAGATGCATGTTGGTAGCAAAAATGTTTCCAACCAAAACATATTTCAGCCTGAGTGTATAAAGTGCAGTAGCATATTAGAACACGTTCATTCATCTTTACAAGTGCAAAGAAGAAGCAGGGACGTATATTTTTAAATTAAAAAAAAAAGAAAGTAAATTTAAACAATGAAGCTAAAGGGGGGCAGCCATCTCAGTTATTTGTAATGTTTGTATGTAGATTTCCTTTTTATCTCTGCATCACAAAAATCTAGTTCAAGTCAGAAGTGATTGAAAATTGTTAATGTTCGATGGTCATTCATTGACCTATATGAACTCAGTTTGGTGCTTGTAGTTTAACTTCCTGATCAGGCATCTTCATCGTCAAAGCACCACCACAAATGGGCTTAGTTATTGAAAACTTCATTAGGAGAAGGCTTAAGTTAGGGTGAGCATGAAAAACTACCTGTATTCTCATTTCCTGCAGATGTTGGCTAAGTCATGGGCAAGGCATGTTGATGAGGCACTGGCAAGAAGCTTGCACAAGATCTTCCTATTGTGTGCCACTTTGGGGCTAGATTGTGCAAATAACTATAGAAGGGGACTATGAAGAGCTGACTGCACATAGAGGAATTGCTCAGGAGCTTCCCATGTGCAGGAGGAATCTATATTCATGGCTAACTTCATGGTAGTCATCATACCCAATGCAAATTGGTGGCTAATTCTGATGTAAGACAAAGTAAGCGCCCCTAGCTCCTGCTCTCTACCCTCCTGGGAGCCTATAGGAAGAGTAGTTCTGTGGTTCCTTACGGATAGGGATTGAGTACTTCCTGACCTCCTTATGGCCCCAGTCAAGTAGAAGTATTTCTCAGAGCCACCTGCAAGGCAGAATCTTATTCTCTATAAAGAAGCGAGAAGACCTTGATTGCTAGGACCATTGATAAAGCAACTTTCACCATCGTGTCTTTTTTCACCAAGAGAAGAAGAAATATATTGCTTTGCATTTGCAACGTACTCAGACCATTATTTAATCATAGAGGTGAGATATAAAAAAATTATTTTAAAACTGTAACCTTACTCTCACTGTGTTTAAGTAACTAATGTCTAATTCATATTAATCAGTGCTAGTTTTTAACAGTGCTATTTTTAGAAGAATCCTCTATTAATCTACATATTAACGAGGTGAAATGTTATGACAATGTACATTTCATATTTTATACAGCCTCCAAAAATGTAATACTTTGCTCATTTAAATGTAAATATAAAAAGTCTGTTCATCCAGTAGTGTTTCACAGCCAAATGAGTACTGTGCATGTTGTTAAGTTAGCCTTTCTCTGTTCTGGCCTCTGTTCTATTATCTGGCAACAAGACAAAGTAGATAACCAGTAGAGGATTTTCATTATATTGCCATTTCATCGTGTCTCCCACTCTGTTTCTGGGCTTTTGTGTTATGAAAGAAAAATGAAATTATGCTAAGACTGGGTAAAATTTTCAAAATGGAGTGCCCAGGCTTAGGAATTTAGAACCATAGTTTAGGCACCTGATTTCCAAAGCTGCTGAAGGCACATAACTCCTTGTCTTTGGTGAGTGTTGTCCAAAAATTAAGATGGGACAAAGTAGCTGAGTTCAGATCAGATTTACACCAGAGCCAGGGCTTACTGTCTAAGATCAAATTATAGAATCACAAAAAATTAGGATTGGAAAGAATTTCAGAAGGTCATCTAGTCCAACCCCCTACTCAAAGCAGGACCACCCCTAACTAGATCATCCTAGCCAAGGCTTTGTCTAGTCGGGTCTTAAAAACCCCCAAGGATGGAGACTCCACAATCTCTCTGGGTAACCTGTTCCTATGTTTTCCTATCCTTTGAATGAGAACATTTTCCTAATATCTACCCTACACTTCCCTTGCTGAAACTTGAGACCATTGCTCCTTGTTCTGTCATGTGCCACTACTGAGAACAGTTTCACTCCATCCTCTTTGGAACTACCCTTCAGGTACTTGAAGGCTGCTATTAAATCCTCCCTTTCCCCTCCAACCCCCAGCCGCTCCTCAAAAGTCATGTGCCCCAGCCCCCTAACCATTTTCATTGCCCTCCGCTGGACACTCTCCAGTTTCTCCACATTGTTTTAATTTGTCCATTGTACTCCCAGTGGGGTCTCTCCAGTGCCAAATAGAGGGGAATAATCACTTCCCTCAATCTGCTAGAAATGCTCCTACTAATATAGCCCATTATGTTGTTAGTCTTCTTGTCCACGAGGGCACACTGTTGGCTCATATTCAGCTTATTGTCCACTGTAACCCCCAGGTCCTTTTTTTGCAGGGCTGCTCCTCAGCCAGTCAGCCCCCAGCCTGTACCGGTGCCATGTGATTTTTCTGTCCTAAGTGCAGGATTTTGGACTTGTCCTTATTGAACCTCATGAGATTTCTTTTGGTCCAGTCCTCCAATTTGTTGAGGTCTCTCTCAATCGTAGCCCTACTCTCCAATGTGCCTATTACTTCCCCTAGATTGATGTCATCCACAAACTTCCTGAGGGTGCACTCCACCCCATCTTTCAGGTTGTTAATGAAGATCTGGAACAAAACTGGCCCCAGGATCAACTGCTAGGGCACTCCACTTGGTACCAGCTACCAGCTAGACATCAAGCCATTGATTACTACCCTCCAATCCTAGTGATCCAGCCAGTTTTCTGTCCACCTTACAGTCCATTCATCCAACCAATACTTCCTTACCTTGCTTGAAAAAATGGTGTGGGAGACTGTATCAAAAGCCTTGCTGAAGTCCAGGTATATCCTGTCCACTGCTTTTCCTGCATCCACAGGGTCAGTTATCTCATCATAGAAGGCAATCAGGTTGGTCAGGCATGCCTTGCCCTTGGTGAATTCATGGTGACTGTTTTTAATCACTTTGTCTCCTCCAAGTGCTTAGTCCTTGAGGATCTGCTCCATGATTTTTCCAGGGACTGAGGTAAAGCAGACCAGTCTGCAGTTTTTGGATCTTCCTTCTTCCCTTTTTAAAGATGGACACTATATTAGCCTTTTTCCAATCATCTGGGGATTCTCTTAATCAGCAAAAGATTTCAGAGATAATGGCCAGCAGTTATACAATCACACTGGCCAACTCACTCTGTACCCTGAGGTGCTTCACGCCCAGCCACATGGACTAGTACATGTCCATTTTTTCTAAGTAGTCACTAACCTGTCCTTTTGCCACTGTTGGCTGCTTACTTCCTCCCCAAAATATGCTCCCAGTAATCTGGGAGCTGACCTTGCCTGTGAAGGTGAAGTAATTTGAGATCTGACTGAAGTGAAAAAAACATTGATTACTTCAGCCTTTTCTGCATCATCTGTCACTAGGTTGCCTCCCCCATTCATTCAGGAACCCACACTTTCCGTGAACTTCCTCTTGTTGCTATAGTTGTAGAAATCCTTCTTGTTACCTTTCACGTCCTTGCTAGCTGCATCTCCAATTGCACTTTGGCCTTCCTGATTTCACCCCTATATGGCTGAGTATACAACTAGGGAGGAGAATACTCTTATATTCCTCCTTAGCTGTCTGTTCAAGTTTCCACTTCTTGTAAGCTTCCTTTTTGTGTTTTAGCTCACTGAAGAGTTCCTGTTAGGCCAAGCTGGTCTTCTGCTATACTTTTTAGTTTTGCTACACATTGGGATGGTTCCTTCCTATGCTAAAATACAGACAGTGCTCCAGGACTCCTTTGCCGCCTCAGGTGGGCCTTCCAGGGGATACTGCACATCAGTTCCCTGAGTAAGTCATAGTTGGCTTTTCTGAAGTCAACAGTCCTTACTCTGCTGCTCTCCTTCTTTCCTTTCTTTGCAATCTGGAACTCAATCATCTCATGGTCACTGCTGCCCAACTTGCCATTCACTTCTACATTCCCTGCCAATTCTTCCCTATTTGTGAGCAGCATGTCAAGAAGAGCATGGCCCCTAGTTGGCTTCTCCAACACTCACACCATAAAGTTGTCTCCAAAAGCTTCCTAGATTGCCTGTACACTGTTGTATTGCCATCCCAGAAGATACCAGAGTGACTGAAGTCCCCGATGAGAACCACTAAGGATTCTCAGACCACTACTAAGGATTTTGTTCTCCAAAAAATTATAGTACTTTCTTGTGAGATTTTAGCAGAATCCATGCAGAAAAGTAACCTCTTTTGCACTCTGGATCTAGCCTGACAGCAAGCCACAACAGCAGGAGTCTGGACTTGTACCCAAAATGCAGGAACAGTTTAGATTTGGGGTTCCAGGTTTGGTCAATGTCTAAAATATGTAATTATTTCTCTCCCCTCCCCCTAAAAATGTTTTTAAAAATGACTTCTGTTGCTTAAATTGATTGTGGGAATACTTTACAAGTATAACAAGACAAAACATTGTGTTCCAACATGATTTTTGTTTTTACTTAGATCTTCCACCACCTTCAACGAGAGAGAGACCTCCTGGGTGTAAGACTGTATTTGTTGGAGGATTACCAGAAAATGCTACAGAAGAAATTATTCAGGAGGTCTTTGAGCAGTGTGGAGATATTACAGCAATTCGAAAAAGCAAGAAGAATTTTTGTCACATTCGTTTTGCAGAGGAGTTCATGGTTGATAAAGCCATTTTCCTTTCTGGTATTTTACATTCTTTAATGGATTTCCTGGGCTCCTCATTTGTATTTTGTGGTGCTAATAGATGTTTATTTTCTTAGCTTTTACCTCAGCAAGTATTTCTCTAGCTCGGCATCTTTGGGTAGGAGCAATAAGGGTTCATTTCCACATTTTTCTGTTCCTGCCAAGATTCATGTGATTCTGAGAGTTTTGCTTACCCAAGAGAAATTTCTCACCATCCCATAACAATTCAGTAGACTCAGAATTCACTACTGCACCGGGTTTTTTTCTTTTTAAGTTTTATATAGGTTTAAATGGTTTTGCTCACGGATTGGAGGTAGAATTCTTTAAGGCCAAACTACAGAACCTACAAAAATATGCCAATGAAACTGGAAACCCTGTCACAGAAATACGTACAGACTGGGGAACTCAGACCTACAGGCTGGGGAACTCCCTTCTCGTCAGTGCAGAGG